GTCCTTTGGTTGTTTCTGCAGCCTCCAGAAGTATGGAATGGTGGTGTTGGCTTCGTCTCAAAGGAAATGATTCAAGAGCATTGCCCTGCACCTGCATCTGACATTAAGGTAACACAAACAAATTTTTCACTGAGAATAGCTATGCAAAGTTATTGGATCTGTATGTGATTTTTGGTGTCATTAATAACCAAATGACTTCGAAAGATAACCTAAAGCTTTGTGTTTTACTGTATTTCCAGGTATTGAGATGTGGACCTCCACCAATGAACAAGGCTATGGCAGCTCATCTTGAAGCTCTTGGTTACACCCCAGAGATGCAATTCCAATTTTAATTTTGTCACAAATTTAGCCCTACACATGGTTTCATTGTTAGTGTGGGGGGAACAGAATTTTTCATGTTGGAATAGCAGGGGAAATGAATCATGTAATGCAAATTGTTGACGTTGTTCCTGTGAACTTGGAGCAATAAAATTTCCCAGAAGTTTATGACTGTCTTTGAATTGCGTAATTCTGCAATTGTCTCGTCTCTCTCCACTGTTCTTCAACTGTTTGTCTCTGGTCGTCTCTCTCTGGTTATCTGCCTTATCCTTATCCTTCCCCTTTTTTACTTTTTCTTTTCTCGTGTAAAAACCTTGGGAAATTTTCTATTTGGGTTTGTAGTGTATGAAATACTTGAACAGTTTGCATTTTGTTTCTAATCTACTAGTTTCGTTGGGTCACGCGAGGGTGCGCTGATTGGTTTGAAGGCAACATTAGCCAGTTTAGTTGATATGCATGCATTCCAGCAAGAAACGTAGTTTGTTGTCTTCTATATCAAATGGTGTTCTGATTGCATGGATGAGAGGTATCCATTGTGTCCAGCGATGGAAGACTGGAAGTAGGCGATGTTTATCCCTTTTCTTTGTTCCTGGATGTATAGGCGACAGTGGTAGGTATATGGCGGGAAAGAGTTGAAACTCCACTACGTCAGGTTGAAAGCATATGTAAATTGCTACATGTGTTAGGATTTGATTAAATCTTTATGCATTATTGTTTCTCACATAATCGACGATTCCTAACAATTTGTCCATGTTAGGAAGTATAATGCCCACAATGGGGTGTAATGAAGGTGTAATTATTACGTCCATATATTGTACTCTCTCTAAAGCTGTGTACAAGTTGAACCAATTGCAAAATATTCGAATCAAAACTTGACTCGAATTTTGTATTGATAAAGATCGAGTCGAGTTCGAGCTGCTTGTTAACTTGCAAACCGGTTTGATTATATTTATGTATTTTTTATTTTTATTTTAAAAGTAAAATTACATATATGTTGGTAATATTTTATTATTTGTTAAGAAAAATTATTATTTTATTTATTTTTAAAATAAATAATATTTTTTAAATAATTATTATTATAATTATTATTTTATAATAATAATAATAATAATAATAATAATAAATTATTATTATTTTATTTTTTAATCTCAAGCTCGAGTTCGATTCGATTCGAACTCAAGCTTTACAATGAGAGCATGTTAAGATCGAGGTCGAACTCGAATTTGATAAATTTAAGTTGAAACTCTGCTCGTATAGGTCAAAGATCGACTTAGTTCAACATGTTTGCAACTCTAACTCTCTCATACAATACTCTTTACACATATAACAGTCATTACACACATAATTGAAGTACACAAGTTGAAAAAAGTGAGCCCCGTTTGTCCAATTATTCAAAACTTTGCAACAGTCCCATTTTGTCCAATTAGTCAAAGTTTTGCAACAGTCTCTTGAATTCAATTTTCAACATGTTTGCAATGGTAAAATAATGGCAGCATTGTTTCAATTGCACCAGTTTGCATAAATTTTTTTCACTTTGAATACTCAAAATTTTATTTTTAAATATTGTTAACATTTTTTAAATTTCTCACTCTCTTATTCCATCATTTCTTCTATTCTATCATTTATTTTCTTCAACCTCTTATCCAAAAACTAAAGTTCCAATATTTTCTTACTTTGGACGAGAATTTTAATAGTTTTAGAAATATATTTAATGCTCCAAATATAGAAAATTCTTCCTTTTTACAAAATCAAAACCATCAAAATTTTTAAAATTATGTAATGGAGATAAAATAATTAAATAAAGTATTATTAATTAAGTTATGATGATTATAATATTTTTACATTTTAAGTGTTGGGTATTTGTTTGATAGTTACTTAATTATTTTTAGAAAATAACAATGTATTATTTTTGAGAGAAATAAAAATATATATTATTTTTCAAAAATTAATAATATTATTTTTTAGAAAATAAAAAATTTTGCAAAGTAAAAATTTCAACAAAAGTTAATAAATTATTTTTCAAAAACAATGAAATTATTTTTAGAAAATAAATTTATTCATTTATGGGATATGTATTGAGAATTATTAAAATAATTTGATTATGAGTTCATGCTATTACACTGTGTACAATATAATCTATAGTGAGTGATAGTACAATGGAATAATAAAGTGATGATATGACATATAAATTACACTTTTTAAAGTGTAATATATTATAGATACCCTTATGAGGCGTAATAGAGAGTGTAATATCCTTTATTACATCCAATCATTATATCCTCTCTTATAGTAAGAGTATAATAACCATGATGCGTATTATGACCATTACATGCGGATTTGGGGCAGGGACGGTCATCAGTATGACCGTCCCTGCACGGTTAAAAATTTGTGCGGCTGAAAATTGGCCCTCAAAATTTTGTGCGGCTGAAATAACACCATGTAACTCGAAATCCGCGCCAAGTGTGGGGCCCACCACTATCTGTTGTGAAAATACATCCTGTGAAAAAAAAGTTACGCGCAGTTAAACCAATGTTACGCGCAGTTGAAATGAGCTAAAATTGGCAGGGACGGTTGCAGGTGCAACCGTCCCTGCCCCGAGTCCATTACATGCATAATAGACATGCAAGATGACAAAAAAAAAAAAACAAAGAAAACTAGTTGTGGGTCCCATTTGATAATTTTAAAAGCATTAAATTTTTCCGATAGTAATATTGTGTCAATTTCAATGCTTTGCAACGGTAATGTTTATTCAATGTCAATCCTCATCCACCAAATTGATGAACGGTAAAATTCCCAAAGGTAATATTTTTATTTTTTATTATCATTTTTTAAATGTTTTGTGATTCAAAATTTTGTCTGTAAATATTGTTTAACATATTTTCAATTTCTCAGTCTCCTACTCTATCATTTCTTTTCTTCAAACTCTTATTCAATTTTCTAAAGTTCCAATATTTTCTCAATATAGTTGAGAATTTTAATAGTTTTAGAAATATATTTAATGCTCCAAGGTTCTGTCCAAGATTTTCAACATTACCTTCAAAGAAACATAGAACTAAATAACTGTGAAGTACATCGTCAACTTCGATCGAACTTGGCCGAGCATATTTGGGAATAGTTTGTTGGCAATGACATTGAAAATTAGTTTTTGTTATATTATTACTTCTGCTTCAATTGCTTTAAATTATGTGATGGAGTGAAATTAATAAAATAAAGTATTTTTAATCAAGTTATGATGATTATGATATTTTTACATTTTAAGTGTTGGGTATTTGTTTAATAATTACTTAATTTTTTAGAAAAATAACAATGTATTATTTTTGAGAGCCAAAAAAATATATATTATTTTTCAAAAAATAATAATATGATTTTTTAGAAAACAAAAAATTTTTGGGAAGTAAAAATTTTCTGGAATGTTAATAAATTATTTTTCAAAAATAATGAAATAATTTTTTAGAAAATAAATTTATTTATTTATGGAATATGTATTGTGAATTATTAAAATAAGTATGTGATTTGATTGTGGATCCATGCTATTATATTTTGTAGAGTGTAATATATAGTGAGAGATAGCGTAATGAAATACCGGATAATAAAGTCATAATGTGGCATATGGATTACATTATTTAAAGTGTAATTTATTATGGATGCCCAGGTAATTTGCATGAGCTTTTAGTAAGCATGTAATTTAGAATATTAAGTAACACGAACATGAATTTTTGTAGCTCAAAATAACATGCGGCAACACTTGTAACATGACTCCAATGTCATAACTCACCCTGTCTACCATAGCACGCTAAAATTGTAAGGGGTTTTGCTTACATCACATTCTTTTTTTTTTGGTATAATCCACAGGTATGCGCGTCCGTTTTACGGTTTACGATTAATACTATTTGAGCTGCATAGGGCCCTTGTGGGGGGAAACTCTCCTAACGTTATCCTTTCCATTCTCATGGATTTCGAAATCAATACCTCATAGTTAAGGGATGCAAGCCCCTCCTGCTTATACCAACATCCGTTGCTGCTTACAACACATTCACCATCCTAAATGGTAGACTAAAGCATATTACTAAAAATTGAAAATTGATCAAAATTAATCTTTAGAAACACAAATTTAAAATATTTCCAACATCACAAGGAAAATAGAGCTGACACAATTAAAGCTCAAAATTGTTCATTAAATTAGTCTTTAAAATCAGAGCATTATGTGAAAAGGTTATTATTGCCAATCATGTAATCAACAATTCGTACAGGTACTTTGTTTCAATCATCACTATCTATGTCCATTGTTTAGCTGTTTCAGGAAAATCTAGTTAGTTGATTGTAAAGCTTTTGTTGATGATCTATTGAAACTCGTATATTTTGTATGTTCTTAATTTGACAAACAAGACCAGACACGATTTCCCTCCTAATATGTGAGATATTAAGCTTTGCTGCTATGGTTAAAGCTGTCAATGACGACTAGGTTACTCTTAGGCTGCCTGCTAATCATTTTTTTATTGCTACTCACATTTGGCCTTTTTGCTTTGTCAAATAACCTTCTGATTATTAAATTAAAAAAAGGCTAAGGTTCAAGCTCTACTCTACTAATAGCTGATAATAGTATATTAAAAAAAAGAAACAGAGCATTAGAGGGCTATACCCAGAACCAATTTGAGCAGATCTATTTGCAGTAAATCATATCTTGATGCAATAGTAGCAGATTACAGGCAAATCATACATCAGACGATCTGCACCACAAAACAAGTCGTATACATTCCAAACCTGATCTAGTTCAAATGACATGTTTAGTGATATAAAGCTTCTTGATCTACCTAGAAAAAGAAGGAATTCTTGATCTGCTCATTCATCAACAGCAGACAAAATGATGAAATAAGTTGATGTGTTTGGGAAATCCCAATTTTTATGCACCTTCCGCTAGAGTTCTTTTTGATGTGCTGATATATAACACTGCAAGAGACTCGCAACATTATTATTATTAAAAGTTAAGTGAAAAGAAAAACATACTAAAGCAACATCATTTCAAACTTACCATTATTCCCACGAATAAAAGCATCCCCATATTTATTCTTCAGCTGTCCATTGACATACTCCTCTGTTTGTTCCATTGCTATATTCATATATCCATCAAGACAAGCTAGAATACCTGCAATAGGCATAATTGTAATGATAAACTATAGTTGCTCTTAGTCTTGCATGAAAATGCAGAAAAAGAAGCTACTTAACAATAATAGAAGACACTATTAAACCAAAGGTGAAGTTGTATGAAGTTGAATGTCTCCACTTCAATGAATTATGTCTTGTCAAATTATCTGAATGTTTCCACTTCAACAAACTGTGCATTGTCAAATGATCATTGGTGTCCCTTTAGTCATCGTTAAGTCATTTTGATTACTGACCAAAAAGGAAATGATAGCATTTTAATTTATGCAAAGAATTAAGCATGAGAAAAGAAACACATTAGTGCATGGACATTTATTACTTGACCTACATCTCACATTGCTCATCCATTCAGATGATCCAGTGACAATTTCCTTTTAGCCCAGCTACTGTACATCCAAACACATTATTGCTTCTATCCCCCTCTTATTATCTTCTTCTCTTCTAACCAGCTCTTCCAATACAAATCCAATTCTTCCATCTGTATTAAGTTGCCGTTATGCCAAAATCATTCTGTTTCTTTTTAACTTTACCATTTGATTTTTCCCCCATTTTCTTCACTGACATCTCTACTCCTCCATCCTCTTCCTCCAGTACCTTTCTTCCTTCCCTTAAATTGACTTAACTTTCATGGTTACCTGAATTCTATTATTACACGCTAATTTACCAGTTCACCAGCTTCGCAGCCACACAGTTTCCAACAAACTGATGATTCATCAGTCTTAGTGCAAAAGAAACTAATGAATCAATTGGTCGTGCCACAAACTATTTTCTTATTCTCAAAAAATATATTTGCCTTCACTCTTCGATGTCCTAAAACCAGCCCCGGATAAAAGGGCATATAATGGCAGACATGCTAACATGATACCAAAGAAAATATCATGCATAACAAGAAAACACAAACATACTCATTAAAAATCAATTACATTCAACTTTCTTATTGACATTTTAAGGAGCTATTCCCCCCACCCCTGCTGCCCTAAAAAAAAGGGAGAGCAACATCAATACAGCATTTAGAAGTAAAGCTAACACTAAATATTTTCATGTAACATAAACCGAAAAGGACTGGTAGCTATGGAACAATTGCAGCATGTTGAAACGAGCATCATTAAACTCTCTAACCACAGCAGTAAGCTCAATTATGATTAGCCACATGACATCCAACTGAACATGACTCCTCCAACAATCAACATGGGTTTCCGCTGTTATGTTTGTGAACCATCAAAATCTAATGCTAAGACATCATAAATTCATAATTGTCATTACAACTTGCAAGATCAGAAATAAATAACAGAAAAACTCAACAAAATCATCTCATAAATGTGATAAGCAATCACCAGGTCATTTATTTACAGCTATCACAAGGTGTAACCCCCCCTCTCCTCAAGGGGGAAAAAAGTAAGGTTAGCTAACTGCAATGATGGTATTTAAGAGAATTCAAGAAACTCCAAAAATTTCCTTGGTTTGCTCAGCTATTACTGTACTTAGATTTGTAACGACAGAAGTATACTATCAAACTATGACTAACTCATTTTGCTCAGCTATTACTGTACTTAGATTTGAAATGACAGCAGTATACTATTAAATCATGACTAACTCATTTCCACACTAATCAGCAAGGATCCAATGGAAACCTTGCGCATACTTTTAACACACACAAAAAAAAAATCCTCAGAAGTGGTTGATTTTGAAAGTATCTCAGATAAATCATTGACAAGAATAATATGCTCAATTCGCACATCCAGCTTGCATGTTTGTAACTGGAGCAAACAAAACTAGTTGCTAGATATATAATTGGATAATGGACATGATAACTCCAGAAAGCTAAGATCATCAAATTACAGAAAGTAGTAAACCAAACTACATTACACAATAGATATAGCAAGTTTCTCATTCAAAGGAAAGAACCATTAAAACAAGCCACAAGAAAATAGGAAATAACCTCGATAGTCAACACCAGAGTTCAACTTGACAACAACAGGTCGCCCCCGAATAGATTTAAGAAAATCAGCTGGAGTTTTGGTGGTTGCTGAGCCTTTCTCTCTTGTTCCACTCATGTGCCACTGGTTTCTTCATGGAAAGTTGACAGAAAGTTTAATTAAGAAAGTAAAACCAGCCAAAAATCTAATGCAAAATCAAATCCTAATAACTAAATTATGGTAGCATTAGATTCTTCATCTACAAACAATCAATGGTATCTTCGACAACAACATTCAACCATAAGCGAATAATATCTTCGACAGACTCCCATTTGCAGATGTAACAAGAAATCAGAAGTTAGAGATAAAATAGAGCAGCAATCCAACTCATACACATATACAAAAAGATTCAAATTTAGCATTCAAAGCATAATCCACTCGGACCACAACTCTCCAAGCAGATTTTTATTTTTTAAGGTTGGGGGAATAAAGTATCTTCCTCCCCACAATTATTTGATTAATACAAACGTATATTATGAAATGGTTTATACTCTTCTTTATTACTAAAGTAATTGAATGAACAGTCAATATAAAGAAATATTCATAGACACAAATCCAAGTTATACAGCTGCATAAACCCCCAATCATTAATTAAGTACTACAAGTTTAAGAATAAATCCAAAAATCAGAAATATAAACACTCAAAACGATAATTTGTAAGGATATAGTAAGAAGAACATGCTAACAAATAATTCAATTAGTCAATAAAATTAATCATAATGCTAAAAAACATCCCTAAGAAACGATGATAAAATAATAAAAACAAGGATACTTCAAAAAGTCGAGCATTAAATTAACGAAAGAGCTCAAACTACAATTACAACGAAAAAGCATCCAATTCGGTAATTGAAATCGACAGTTCAAATTACATTCATAAAAAGAAGAAAATTTACCAGCCCCACATTCAATCTTCTTCAGTTTGGCCAGCCTTCGAGAACAAGTCGCTGAATTAGACCACGCAATGAGCGGTGGTTGAAAGCTGAGATCAAAAGCGTGTTTTGATAAGTGAACAAGTTTTCACTTACTTTTTTAAACAGTTGACATGGTCTGTCTGAATTCATTAGATAGATTTGGGTTATAACATGGGGTTTGAATGTTCCCCTCCGGCCAGGCTAAAACGGTTTTTATAGAATTTTGGTCCACACTTATGTACTACATTTATAAAGTGAGATACTGAGAGATGAGTCCTCCAAAGTGAGAGTTTCTCTCTCTAGATAAGAGCGCGAGTCTCTCAGTCTTGAGAGTTTCAAATCTTTTCAAAATCCTTCTAAACTTCCCTCACAATATCCGCAAACACACACAGACAATCCCAAGATCTAGACATTCCCCACTTTGTAGCGCTGAGAGTTAGTTAAGATTAGCGAACTTTTTAGAGTGCATCAGCAAAATAGTGATCTGTGAGATAATCCTGTCTCCCAGCTTGTGGAAAGCTTACGCCACAGTGTTAGCTTTTGTCGGATTTCTGCATGCAGTAGTGATCTTTGTTTGTATGGTCCGAGGAAACAGACTCCATGGAAGACGTAGGTGCGCTGGCAGGTATCTTCATAGCCATTAATCCTACAGTCCTCAGTTGCTGTTATCATTTCTGTTAAAGGTTCTGGGTTTTTTTTTTTTTTTTTTTTTTTTTTTTTTTTTTTGCCTCAGTCAGCCCTTCTGGTTTTTTTCTTTTATAATAAGGAAAAACTTTTAAAAAAAAAAAAAAATCTTTAAGAAGGTCGTAAGTGTTTTTCTACTTATTTCTCTGTTTTATTTTCATATTTAGGAAGGTAGTTCTTTTCTGAGTTGTGTGTCTCGCCTGCTTGTGATGGCCTCCTTTGTTTTTGGCCTTGTTTGACTTGTCCTGGTCTCAGTAGTGATAGCAGGGTTTATTCTTTAGAATCTGTATAGACCTTATGGCGGAAGAACTGGCAGATGCGATCAGCAAGTTTGCTCTATCAGAGAAAGAATTGGAGGGTACAGACCTAGGAAGCGAAGAGATAGATAGAGGTATACTTGAATGCCAGTTAAGTCTAGTGGGTAGAATCAGAGGTGAGAAAGTGGTTAATTTTGTAGGAGTAAAGAACTTCGTGAATTCAGCTTGGGGGTATCCAAGGAATCTGAGAATCATAGAACTGGGCCCAAACTTGTTTCAGTTTTATATTCCGAACAGGGAGGACAGAGATAGGATCGTAGGAGGAGGTCCTTGGGTCATGGACAACCAAATTCTGGTTATGAAACACTGGAATGAAGGTATAGAGGATGATACAGCTGCCTTTGACCTAGCCCCTATGTGGGTGCAAGTCTGGAATCTTCCCGTGCACTGGATAACAAAAGAAACGGGGAGGAAAATTGGTGCAGTGTTTCATGAAGTAAGGGATGTTCTAGTGCCTCAAGTAGGAGGAAAGGAAGGAAGACACTTAAAGCTTTTGGTGATGCTAGATATCTCACTACCTCTACTAAGGGGAACAACCGTTAAAGTGAATGGAGTGTTGAAGTGGTTGAATTTCAGATATGAGCGCTGTCCAGATTTCTGCTATAAATGTGGTGTAGTTGGACATGGAGAAAAGTCATGCAAGGCAATTATACAGATTAGTAAAGGTAAGCAGGAACATCAGTATGGTCCGTGGTTGAGAGCAAATACAGGAAAACCATCACCCCAAAAGGAACACCAAAGCAAGTTTAACTCGGAGAAGAACCATTGGGGTTTTAAAGATGGAGAGATGGTACTTTTAAACCCCAAGGCTAAGGAGAATCTGGAACATAGACATAAGGAATTCTCGTCAGGGAGAAAGGAAGATTTTAGGAAAGGAAATGATGAGAATCAGACAGATAAGGGAAGGGCCGAAGAGATGGATATTAATGAGGTGCAGAAGACAACAGAGGAGGTGAGCTGCAATGATATGAGAATGCAAGGTTCAGTTTCAAACATCATCTATAGGCAAAAGGTAAATGGTACCAGGGAGGAAACAGAACCCCTTCCTGGGGGAAAAAGTAACTGTGCTCTGGAAGTAGGATTTGTGAGTGTATCAGAAGGGAAGGTGAATAGTGGATCGGTCAAGGGTGAAGTGGAAAGAACTGGTCTTGAGCAAATAGCACAGGAGCTTATGCAAGTAACAGTAGTAGAGGCAGAAATTGTTAGCCCGGAGACAGCATTAATGCAAATTGATCCAGAAAGCTCTGATTTGGGAACAAAGGCAGTTCAGAAACATAATAGGAAGATGAAGAAACAGTTGAGATCTCCTAAAATCTCTAGACAGCCTTTGAGAGAGTTGAGCAGGAATAGGAATTTGTCACTTCACCAAGGCAAAAGAAAACTCAATTTGGTGGATGAGGATATGGTGGAAGTGCAGGTGAATGAGATTGTCCCCAAGAGGAACAAACTGGATCCTAAGGAGGGGAATCTGAGTGAAAATTCTAAGGGGGAAGGGGCCAACCTTAACTGGCCCCTCAAGTTACAATGAAGGTTTTGGTGTGGAACTGCCAAGGTGTAGGGAGCCCCTTGACAGTTCCCCAGTTGAGGGAGGCTAAGAACCTCCTCTCCCCAAACATGGTCTTTCTGAGTGAGACCAAAAACAGGTTTAGATATATGAAGAAGGTCCAAAATATACTGAGGTATGATGAAAGTGTAATAGTGGAAGCAATGGATAGGAAAGAAGGCATGGCCTTATTTTGGAATCATGACATACAGGTTAGGAATGTGGTAACAACTGCTCTAACTATAGAGGCTCTAGTTATAGATCCGGACACCCAGGTTGAGTGGTGGTTTATTGGTGTTTACATGAGTTGTGATGCTAATATCAGGAAAGAACAATGGAAAGTTTTGACTTTGAGACAACAACTGTGGGGGGATAAATGGCTTCTAGCAGGGGACTTCAATGATATACTCTCTAATGAGGAGAAGTGGGGTGGTAGAGTAAGAGAAGAGAGAAGCTTCAAGGATTTTAATAGTTTTGTAGAAAACAACAGGCTGGTAGATCTTGGTTTTACTGGTAACCCCTGGACTTGGAGCAATAATTGGGAAGATGAGGGAGAGATAAGGCAAAGACTGGATAGAGGCTTGAGTACAATAGAATGGGGCCAATTTTTTGACAAGGCTAAATGTGAACATGTGGATACCTTTGGGTCAGATCATAGCATGCTGCTCATTGATAATTGGCCAAGAATAGAGAAGAGGAAATCAAGATTTTTCTTTGATAAGAGATGGCTTAAAAGGTCAGAGGTCAATCAGATTGTTGAGCAAGCTTGGAACCAATCAGTAGAAGGAAATAGTATGTATAGGATTACAAGACAGGTTGCTAACTGCAGAGTTGCTCTTCTCAAATGGAAAAATAATTTCACAGGGAATTCACTGCTAAAAATCAACCATTTGAAGCAACAGCTTAAGGAGGTTCAGGACTCGAAGGCTGTTGGCTCCAAGGACAAGATTGCAGAGTTGAAGAGTCAGTTGAAAGTGGCATATTCAGAAGAGGAACAGTACTGGGCCCAGAAAGCAAGAATTGACTGGTTGAGAGAAGGGGACAAGAATACCAAATTCTTCCATGCTTGTGTGAAGGGGAGGAGGAGGAAAAATAGAATGCTCAACATTCAAAGGGAGGATGGAACTTGGACGAAAAATGAGGAGGAGCTGGGAAAGGAAGTAGCTGAATACTATAGGGTCCTTTTCGCTAGTTCTGGGAGTGAGGGTCTTGCTGAGATTCTAAGTGGTATACCTCTAACAATCACTACTGAGATGAATGACAAGCTAACTAAAGAGGTTAGTGATATAGAAATCAAATCTGCTCTCTTCTCCATGAATCCGAATAAGGCTCCTGGTCAAGATGGTATGACTCCCTTGTTCTTCCAAAAATTTTGGCATGTTGTTAAACCAGATTTAGTTGCTGCCATTAGGCATTTTTTCCAAACCAACAACATGCCTAAGTCCTGGAATCATACTGTCATCTCCCTTATTCCCAAAATACAAAGTCCCATTAACTTGAAGAGCTATAGGCCAATTAGTCTCTGTAACGTAGTGTACAAAGTGATTTCAAAAATTTTGGCCAATAGACTCAAGAAAGTTTTAAGCCTTTGCATTAGTAAAAACCAAGCAGCCTTTATCCCAGGCAGGCAAATTCTCGATAATGTCATTTTGTCCCATGAATATTTGCATTACATGAAAAATAAGAAACAAGGACAAAATGGATTTATGGCTGTGAAGCTGGACATGTCAAAGGCCTACGACAGGGTGGAGTGGAAATTCCTGGATTCCATGATGGACAAGATGGGCTACTGCGCAGTTTGGAGGAAATGGATATGGAGCTGTCTATCATCTGTTACATACTCCTTCAACATAAATGGAATACCAAAGGAGTTTGTAATTCCAGAAAGGGGAATAAGACAAGGTGATCCATTGTCACCTTATCTTTTCCTTCTTTGTTCAGAAGGGTTCTCCAATTTATTGAAGCAGGCTGAAGGTGAAAAAAGAATGACAGGGATGAAGATATGCAGGAATGGTCCAAGCTTGACCCATTTATTTTTTGCTGACGACTCACTGGTCTTCTGTAAAGCTGATAGAGGGGAAGCTAACGAACTCTGTCAAATTCTTAGGAAGTATGAGAAGGGATCAGGCCAAGTTATAAATCTGGAAAAGTCCTCAGTTTTTTTCAGTGGAAATGTGAGCCATCAGAATAAAGGGGAAATAAGACGAAGCCTAGGCACAATTCAGGTGGCTACTCAAGGGAAATATTTGGGACTACCTATGGTGATTACAAGATCCAAACAACAAGTTTTTGGTTACATAAAGGATAGTATTAGCAGAAGGATGAACAGCTGGAAGAACAGATTGCTTAGCCAAGGGGGGAAGGAAGTATTATTGAAGTCATTCTCCATGGCAATGCCAGTTTACACAATGTCCTGTTTTAAACTCCCTAACAAACTGTGTAAAGAAGTGACATCCATTTTTGCTAATTACTGGTGGGGAGAATCTGAAGGAAGAAATAAGATGCATTGGTGTTCATGGGGGAGATTGGCTAGAGATAAAAAAGAGGGAGGCTTGGGCTTCAAGGAGTTGCAAAACTTCAACAAAGCCTTGCTGGCTAAACAGGTTTGGAGGGTAATCTCCAAACCAAACCTTTTAGTCAGTAAAATCTTGAGGGCCAAGTACTTTCCAAAGGAATCCATCTTTAAATGTAAAATCCCGAAATGTGCTTCTTGGATCTGGCAAAGCCTGAT